GACAAGCCCTGCAGGGTGGGGGGGGGCGCAGCCTCAGGTTCCCCATAAGGCCCCGTTGGGTGAGGGGTGCAGCCTCAGGTCCAATGTCAAATCCTGCCTGGCCAGGAGGCACAGCTTCAGGTCCCCCGGACCAGCACCAGGCAAAGAGTGTGGCCTCAGGACCCCCAGCACACCCTTAGGTCCCCTGGTTTGGCGCCAGGGCAGGGGGTGCTGCTTGAGGTCCCTCGGCCTGGCACCAGAGTGGGTGGCACAGCCTGAAGTCCCACAGCTTGGGTCGAAGTTGGGGGTGTGCCTTGAGGGCCCCTGTCAAGCCCTGCCGGGTGGAGGACATGGTCTGAAATCCTCTGGGCAGAGAGCATGGTCTGAGGTCCTCCATTAAGCCGTGATGGGTGGGGGCCTTGGTCTGAGATCCCCCATCAAGCCCCACCTGCTGAGGGGCCTAGCCTCAGGTCCCCCAGCGCTGGGGTGGGGGGATGCGGCCTGAGATCCCCCACCCAGGGTGGGGAGTGCACCTTGAGGTCCCCCATCAAACCCTGCCCCTACCTCCACCTCAAAAAAAGAGATTAGAAATCATGCCTTTCCCTTCTTTATGCCCCAAGGAAATAGCAACTATTGCAGAGAATTTGAGGGGCAAAGAGGGATGACTGGAAAAGACTAGAGAGTAGGAGAATGGAAGGATACCAACAATAATAGTATTTATACACTTATTTATCTTAGTAAGGGGAAAGAAGGTAATACACTTTGCCTGATATACTAATTTCTAGATATCAATGAGATAGCCAAGTGGATATGTCCCACAACAAACAATATATGGGAATCATTCAGTTCAACAAACTATTAGTGAGGCATTCATTCACTTAACAGACACTTAATTGCACACCTAATATGTGCAAGATAATCTGTTTTGTTATCTGTAAGCTAGAAGGAACATTTTTGAACCACAAGATGTATAAATTTGGAGGGAAATACCTGGAACATGCTTGAAAGACTTTGGAAAAGACAGGTAAAACCAGTTGTTTGTCCTCAAGGAGCTCTGGGTCTGGTGTGGGAAGAAATGAACAAAAACACTAGTGGGTATAATTCTAGGTAGTTTATGGTAAGTTTCATAATTTCAGTAGAAATCTTATTTAATAAAGAGGGAATATGCTAATTGACTGCCACACCCTCAAAGATGGTGGCTCCCACAGTCACAAGATGGCAGCGCCCAGTACCCCAGCCCCCCAGCTGCCCAGGGCTGGCCCAAGATACAGGCAAGCCTCCAATGGTGGCTGCCCAGTCGCCCAGAGCCAACCCAAGGTTTAGGTAACCAGGGCTGGCAAAGGCATGTCAGCAGATGTGTGATGGGGCGTTGCCTTCCCCTGATCGCCTGGTCGCCGCCTGTCCCTGAGGGCTCCCGGAGTATGAGTGGGGGCAGGCTGGGCTGAGGGATCCCCCGCTCCAGTGCATGAATTTTCATGTGCCAGGCCTCTAGTAAAATATAATACGAATATGAGATTAATTTTGATTAGAGAGAGATCTGTGTGCTGGTGCCTCATATGTCAATATAATTATTCATAACTTCTAAGTTAAATCTTGAGAGTGGATGTTGAGAGGGGGAGATAAATGAGAGGGGGTGGCGAAAGGGGAAGAGAGAAGAGGGGGAGGAGATTAGAAAAGGAGAGTGGAGAGAGGCTTTCCGAATAAGCCTTAGGGAAGGGTCCCACTTGGGGAAAGGAGGACAATAAGGAACCAGGGAAGGAGTATGAAAGAATATCCACAGGAACAGGAGAACCAGAGTAATCCCTAAATCACAGTTACAAAAGTGAGGAAGAGCTTCGTAGAAGAGAGCAAGTCTGGACATCAGCATAGCATAAGGCACAAATAATTTCTTCTGGCCTCTGTAGCTTTAGCAGAAGCTGATTGGGGAACTTTGGAAGAGATCTTTTCCTGAAGTAGCTACTGGGTGGTAGTGGCGGCAGCAGTGGCAGCTGTAGCTGTTTCCAGTAGAAACCTCGCAGAGTTAAGCCAGCTTGAAGCAGTGGGAACCAGGAGCTGGCTTAGTCTAGGGCTTCCCTAGTGTAGCTGATTTTGGACTGACCGTTTGGGTGTATGCCATGCCTCAAATCACACTTGTCCACTGAAGTGGCCACCTCCATCCCTGGAGCAAAGTAATGATACAAAATACTTTATGGATTAAGCAGTATTTTATGGTTTACAAAGTGCTTTCATACCTATTAACCAATTCAATATTCAAGAAACCCTAAATGGTTGGTATTATTATCCCCATTTCACTGGTGAGGATACTGAGTTAAAAGTGGTGTTCAGGGTCACACAACTCAAACAAGGAAGAACAAGAATTTGAATTCAACTCCATCTGGCTCCTAACACCTGATGCAGTATCACCATCTTCTATGCAGGATCACAGCTGTCAGCTGTTCAGGACTCAGGCTATAACTGCTTCCTCCATACCTACCTTTTATTTGTCCCATACTGTGACACAGAGCAAAGAACTCCACATTTCCCCCACCCAGGTTTTCGGGCCTTCCAGGAGTTCTGAATTCTATATTCTAGAGCCTCTTTTATAGGCCTGCCTCCTCCTCTCACTTGAAGGATCCAGCTGGGCAGCATTCTTAGGACTTGAAGATCAGGTTCAGAGTCCCCATTGTTTGCCAATTCCCTTCAGAGTAGATCCTGTTCTAGCCTGCTCCCTTTCCCCAAGCACTACCCACTTTATCCTCAAAGGCCTGCAGGCCCACAGCTTGCCTCCTGTGCTTAAGACCTCCATAATCACTAAAACTGTAGATAGCCCCAAGAGCCCTGGGGTCCAGAACTCCTGACAATTGGGCATTCCTGGACATAAGACTCTCAAATATTTAGGCTTTATCTGCTATATTTAGACCAGTATTGCCTGTAGTGATAGAGAGAGATGAGTTGATGTGTAGGAAGGGATGGAATCTGTAAGGGAGTTGGCTAGCATACGTGGAGAGGAGAAAACTGACTCCTGGCCATCTCCTCTGACATAAAGTAATAAACATCTTGAAATATTGACAGGCTGAACATTGAACTCCTGATCCTTCCTCTTATAGTCGTCAATAACTCCATCTCTGTCAACATTAACTCATTCTTCCAGTTGCTCAGGCCAGAAATCTTGTAGTCATTCTTGACTCATCATCCCTTTTTTCCACACACCCCACATCAGGAAATCTGGTATCTACTTTGAAAATCTCGCCACAATCTGACCACTTCACACCACTTTCACCAGCCTGGTCCACCATCATCTCTATTGGAAACAGCCTTGGAATTATTCTGCTTCCTGTGTCCCCAGCCCTGCAGTCTATTCTCAACCTGGAGCTAGCCAGTGATTCTTCTGAAGTGTACATCAGTTGTTTCTTCTAAGCCCTACATGGCTTCCTATTCTCTGAAAGTAAATGCCAAGTAGTCCTCACAATGGCTTCCAAGGACCTTCTAGATCTGGCCCCTGCCAAAGTCTCTGTCCTCATTTCTATGTTTCCTCTTCCTCACAACTCTTTATTCAAAAGTCACCTTAATATTTAAAACAGCAATCCTCTCTTCCTTCAGCATTCCCCTTTCCTCCTTTACTTTTTCTCTATAATAATGATCAAAATCTATATTTTTACTTGTTAATTTTATCTTTTCTCTTCCGCTAGAGTGTAAGCTTCATTAAAGTAGGAGTTTTTGTCTGTTCTGTTTACTAGAGTTGGGCCAAGTACATAGTTATCTCTCAGGATATATTTGCTTATCCATCTGTGGTTTATGGCCAGTGGCTTAGAGAGGTGACTAAGCATAGTAATTAAGTACATGGATGCTAGAGCCTGGTTCAAGGGAAGGCCTGCTTGGGTTCAAATCTTAGTTCTATCACTAATTAACAAAATACTTAAACTCTCTGTGCCTTAGTTTTCTCATCATCAAAATAGGAACAATAATATTACCCACTTCAATAGAGATCCTGGGGGCCATTAATAAGTGTAAAGCACTTAGTGCCTTGCACAGAGAAGGTGCTACATAAGCATTTGCTATAATCATACACACATGGAGTTAAGATTTATATGAGAAGCTTAGATTTTATAAAATCATTCAGTGTGTTATCTCGTAGTTGCCCATGTTAACATTTATTTCTCATGTTTCTTCTCACACAGATTTTATGATCATCTTGTAGTTTTATTTAACTCAAGTGGCCTGGCTCTTTATCTGTTAACTTAGACGTTTCCTTGTGTACTCTCTCCTACAGTCATTTAGAAGCTGTTACATAGTAATCTCGCTGGGCCTCTTTTGCAATCTATACAATGAGTGGGTTGGACTAGATAATCTTGATGGGCCTTTCTGGCTCTTACAGCCTCCCAGGACAGGAAGAGGGACAGGTCCCACCCAACCCCGCCCCCAGGAATAGGCCCTCTGCCTGCTAAGGAGGAGGGTGACAGAATCAGCTGGGCTCAGCTTCAAGGGGACAAGGTAGGAGACCTGCCAAATTTCTTGGGTAAGAGTGGTGATGGGGTTCCTGGGCTGGAGCAGGCATCAGAAATAACTGTAGTACAAAGATTCTGGGAGCAGGGTGAGAGGAGAGGTGAAGTTCCCTAATGGAGAGATGTTCTCTTCACAGGGACACAGCTGCTGTGATAGCTAGGAGGTAATTTGAGAGGTTGGGCATCTTCTCACATTAGAGAGTCTTAGTAGGCCTCTACCCCCTTCAGCTAGCCAAGATCTGGAAGACAGAGTCAGCCCTAGAATAAGAACAACCAAAAAAAAAAAAAAAAATACTGACTGTCTTCCCAGCACTGCCTGCTACTCACCACTCCCCTGGCTGAACCAAGGGAATTCGGACAGGGGCCCAGCTGGCCTGGGTTACACCCAGATTTACTCCTGTCAGCTCAGCTCCCACTAATGCTTCAACCATTGCCCTCCCTGTTCTCCCCCCACACCACCCCCCTGATCAGGACTGGGGGTAGGAGGGACAGGGAAGTCCAGTACCCTCACTTCTGCCTTTTTCACCTCTAGGAGGGACCATGGCCAGTGCAGAATCCTCACTGCTCACAACCCCAGGGCCCAACTCAGATCCTGGCAACAGTGAGGTGGAGCTGGACTGCTGGTTTGATGAAGAGTTCAAGTTCATCCTGCTGCCTGTGAGCTACGCAATTGTCTTCGTGCTGGGTCTAGTCCTCAATGCTCCAACTCTCTGGCTCTTCCTCTTTCACCTCCGACCCTGGGATGCAACGACCACCTACATGTTCCACTTGGCTTTGTCAGACACTTTGTATGTGCTGTCACTGCCCACCCTCGTCTACTATTATGCAGCCAGAAACCACTGGCCCTTTGGCACTGAGCTCTGCAAGTTCATCCGCTTCCTCTTCTACTGGAACCTCTACTGCAGTGTCCTTTTCCTCACCTGCATCAGTGTGCACCGCTACCTTGGAATCTGCCACCCCCTGAGAGCAATACGTTGGGGCCGCCCAAGACTCGCAGGCCTTCTCTGCCTGGCAGTTTGGTTGGTTGTAGCCAGCTGTCTTGTGCCCAATCTGTTCTTTGTCACAACCAGCTCCAGGGGGGATACCATCCTGTGCCATGACACCACTCGGCCTGAGGAGTTTGACCATTATGTCCACTTCAGCTCAGTAATCATGGTGCTGCTCTTTGGCATACCCTGCATGGTCACTCTTGTCTGCTATGGGCTCATGGCCCGGCGCCTGTATCGGCCTTTGCCAGGGGCTGCCCAGTCATCTTCTCGTCTGCGTTCTCTCCGCACCATTGCAGTGGTTCTGACTGTCTTTGCTGTATGCTTCGTGCCTTTCCACATTACCCGCACCATTTATTACATGGCAAGGCTGTTGGAAGCTGATTGCCAGGTGCTGAACATTGTCAATGTGGTATACAAAGTGACCCGGCCTCTGGCCAGCGCCAATAGCTGCCTGGATCCTGTGCTCTACTTTCTCACTGGGGACAAGTATCGTAGGCAGCTCTGGAGGCTCTGTAGTGGTGGTACCTCCCAGCCCCCCAGGGCTGCCTCCTCCCTGGCACTAGTGTCCCTGCCTGAGAGTAGCAGCTACAGGAGGACAACAGCTTCCAGGACAGTGGCTGCCCTACCCCTAGGGCAGAAAAATTGTAGCACTGGAAGCCCGGAAGGAAGAGAAAAGGGGGTGAGTGCAGGGCAAAGGTGAGGGATCCTAATGGTGACAACTCATTTTATTGCCTCCTCTTCGTTCCAGGTTCTGGTGAGAGGCCCTCCCTCTGAGGGTTAGGGGGAGCCAGGAAAACCATGTGTGACCCCAATCTCTCATAAATCCTTCAGTTGTCCTCTACTTTTTAGCCAAAGGCAGTAGCAGCCACTCTTTCTTCTCTATTTCTTCCTCTTAGTTTCCTTGTGCCATTGGTCCTGTTTCTTGATCCTAGGAGACTTCCTGGAACCCTTCCCCAGCTTTCCTTTCTCCCACATCCTCGTATAGGGATGTGGGAGAAAGGAAAGACCAGAGCATTACTCCAGTCAGACCAGAGCATTCAAGTGGAATAGTGGAGAAGCTGGAGTAATCTCAGGGTTAGCCTGATTTATCTGACGGTGACAGCCAGAATCAGGAGGTAGGGGCACTAGCATGTCACAAATGCCAAGGATCTGACATATGTAGCTCCCATAACCACTTCCTGATTTCCCTGTGAGGACAAGATAGTCTGGCCTACTTGGATGCTGAAATAGGGCACAATCCAAGACAGCCTGCAGGGTCTCCACATGCAGCTGGAGGCATGGCACTGTTGAACTGGTATGTAGCTGTAGGTAGAGAGGGAACCCTGAGTCTTACCATGGGCTGGGAATTTGAAGAGCCTTGAGGGCAGGGCCCAATCTGATAAAAGACTTTGGAACAGGAATGTGACAGGACCTCCTTTATGAAGTTTGCTGAGAGCATATTTGACACTTCTGTACGTAATGAAAGGAGGAGGGGAATGGCTCAGAATGGGAGGGAAGATCTTTCATGTCTATGGCTGTCAGTTCCAGCATCAAGGGTAGAGCAGGTTTGTGTAGAGATTGGGGGTGGTGACAAGGATTGACGTCAGTGTTCACTGGTTTCTTCCTTTTCTCTAGCTCCTGCCCTAGATAAAAAATAAACCTGTCACCAGTTATTTCAGATCAGGATTTAGGGTTTTGAGGCCAGAGAAGGGCACTGGACCAGGACAGCTCCCCCTCAGAGTCTCCCATTTAGTCACCCACCCTCTCCCAGCTGCATCTTAGTGCTTAAGGGCTTATGGATATGGGGAGGGGGAGGTTATGGAACTTGGGGAGTAATTCCCAAGCATTGGGAAGTAAGAGTTTCTGGGCAGGCTTTCATGAGAAGGGTGGAATCACATTTCTAGGAAACCCCTTCTGAAATGGCCTTCCAGCCCATTGGTCTCCTGAGTCTTCAGCTTTCCTTTTCTTTTGCCCCACCCCCACCCTGGCTGACTTGCCTCTGATCTTCATTTACCTATTAAATTTCTCAGTCTTACTAGTTCTCTCTGGAAAGGAAGGTTGGGACTGGTCTGGAGAAATAAAATGACTTCAATGCCCCCGAGTTCCCTTTTCCATTCTTTTTAAGTGTGCTCTTTTCCTCCCTAGATATCCAGGACCCTGCTGTTACCTGAGACCCTTTCTTTTAGGAGTAAATGGTCTTCTTACTAGTCTCCCAGTCTCATAGCCACTGCCTAAACTGTTACACAACCTGCTCCTCATCTGTACTCACTTCCTATGAGACTGGGAGACTCATAGCCACTTCATTTACTCCTATGAAGGCCAGTTCATTTACTCCTATGACCACAGCCTCCTTGTCCATTACCTTTCCTACCCACAAGCTCCACCCATGAAGCTGCTCTTTCCATTATAACAGACCCAGCCTCCTCCATTTAACCATTTCATTTAACTCCCATATGCTTAATTGAGACTAAATCCCCAGACTTTGTGGTATGCTAGTTTAAGACTTCCTTTCCTCTCACTCCAACCTTAGTTAAATATCTTGATTTTCACTGTGTGCCAACCTTCTCCTCTCTCCTAGACTGTAGGATACTGCATATGAAGCCAGAACACAAGTATGGCTTGACCAACTAAAACTTTTTGTCTTGGAATTTCATCTAAACCTCCATCCTTTTTAGTCTGCTGAGTTCCTAATGAACATTCCAGAGGGATTGTTTCCTATCTTTCCCACTTTCTCAAGACACCAATTTCATTCTACCCTATGATCTCCTAAGATTTACTTGCCTCCTGGGCTATTGGTTCTGTTTCTTGAGGCTTCCTAGAATTGAGAAACTCTAATACCTCAACTTCTTTCTGCTTCATTTAGGATAACTCTAGTTCTATATCCATCCCATCTTTCTCCCTTTCTTCCCTGAAGTCCCAGAATAAGAGATGGCTTCTTGTTTTTTTTCTTTTGTGTATATCTTTCTTCATCATTTTTCATTTCTTCCATAACTAATTTTGTTCTGTCTTAAAATACACAAACACACACACACACCAAAAGCCAACCAAATGAAAATAAAACATTATCACTGACATCTTAATTCTGCTCTCTTCTTGCTATCATTCTATTCATCTTATTCATTTCACTGTCATTTCTAGAAAGAGTACCATAAAACTTGTTTCCTCACCACAAATTCACCTCTTAACTCTCTTAATTTGGTTTCCTTTCTATAGTTTTTTTTTGTATCTAGAACACAAATTACTTTATAAGCAAGATCTTTAATGATCTTTTTTTTCTACCATTATTGTTTTTTACTTTCCTATGATGTCCTTTTGCATATTTCCTTTAAAATTTCTTGTGAATTTTATTTTTAAAATTTATCTTTATTGCTGAAAGTATTACAGATGTCCTCTTTTCCCCCTATTGATTCCCTCCACCTCACTCCCCGCCCCCCCCCCCCCCCAGGCCTTCACCGCACTATTGTCTGTATCCATGGGTTATGCACATGTAAATTCTTTGGTTAATCTCTTCCTGCATAAAAACAGCACTAAAAATTCCACTATGACAACATCAAAGGAAATTTTTAAAGAAAATAATCACCTGTATTTTGAAGCTCTCAAAATTGCTTTCATTTTTTCATGTTCCATGCTTTTTCAGTTTGTATAATACACGCATATTTTATATAAGTATAATCATAGTGTACATATTTTTTTGAAATTCTGCAAAAATATTTTATTGTAAATAGTCTCCTTGTGCTGCAGTCTTTCCTGTTTATCATTTTCAATGATTGCATAAAATTGTATCTATCAGTAGATTATACTTTATTAGACTATTCCCCTATTATTGGACATTTAGGTGACTCTCAACTTTTCTGTGCTTTGAATATCTTAATGCATATGGCTTTTTTCTTCTTTGTAATTCTATTCCTAGGACAAGTTCCCAGGAGTGGAACTGCCAGATCCAAGAACATGAACATTTTCAAAAGGACTGCACAAATCTGCAACACCACAATGACACATGAGTTTTTCCAGTTTCCTTACAGCTCTAGCATTGGACTTGATAGTAAATCTTTTGGAGTGATTTAAACATTAATTTGTTAATTTCACTGCTTTGGCTACTCATGGGATTGAACACTTTCCCATATGTTTACCATTTGCATTTCCTCTTGTGTTAACTATTTGTTCACATCCTTCTTCAACTGGCATTTTAGTGGTATTCTTATGTATCTAAATATATTCTTTAACATACATATTAACCCTTGTCATATTTGAGATATATAATTTCTTCCATTTATTGTAGTACTTTTAATTTTAGTTTCTTATTTTATCCCCCTGATTTAAAATTTATCTACTTCTACTTTTATCTCTCTCATTACTTCTTCTCTCTTTGCTGGATTCTCTTTATCCTTTACTCCCTAAAGTGGACAGAATTCCAAGCTCTGTCATAGTAATAGCATTTGGGGATTATTTAATCCCATCCCCTATCAGATCCTTGATTTTTTTTTTTTGGAGAGAACATATATATATACAACTTAATTGACTCATAATCCTTGAATACTGTAAAAATCTTCCAGGGCCTGAGCACTCCCTCACTTTAAAGAGGACAAAACAGGCCCCTAGATATGACTTGCCAGTGACTTATCAAATTAGTGGCAGAGCAGGGACTAAATTTCAGGTCTCCTGATTCCCAGAGATCCTTCCATAAGCTTGAAAACTTTCAGGCAACTTAATCTGTTCTTCCTGTTTCATGAGATTCTGGAATTTCTTTCTTCATCATGTCAATTACAATTTTATTATCCCAGCGCTACCATTCTAATATTGGCTCTTGTCACTTTATCCTTTACTGACAGTCTCAGCCTCGTAATTGATCTTACTCGCCTCCAGTCTCTTCTCACAAGATTGCATCATATACAATGCATACTGCCAGATGAATTGGCCCAAACACTGCTTTCACTCTATTACTCAATAGTCTTTCATGGTTCACCTATGTCTACAAGACAAATTGAAATTCTTTAGTCAGAAATTCAAGAGGGCTTTTTTCAATCTTATTTTCCATTCTTCCCAAATACAAATCTATTTTCTTCCACTCATTTGATCTCCTCATTCTTTCTCCAAATAAAACTTGCATTTTCCTACCTCTGTACCTTTATTCTTCCTAGACTAGGATGCTGTACCTTTATGCCTCCCCACACTAGAATGCCTTCCTTTTCTTCTCCCACTGTCTTTTTTTCTACTTCGTTACCAAGGCCACTTCCTCTTTGAGACCTTCTCTGCAGAATCTCACCCAGTGAACTTTCTGGTCACTCCTATGGTTATTATATCTATAAGTCATTTGTCACTTTTATTGTCTTTTGCTATCTTTTCTTCTTCTTCTTCTTCTTCTTCTTCTTCTTCTTCTTCTTCTTCTTCTTCTTCTTCTTCTTCTTCTTCTTCTTCTTCGGGGAGAGATGTCTGTGACGGACCCTGGTGAGGGGTCTATTTTTTGCTATCTTATATAGTAAAAGGGTAATATGCAAATTGATTGAATTGCGGAATGACCGGTAACTATGATGCACACTGACCACCAGGGGCAGACGTTCAATGCAGGAACTGCCCCCTGGTGGTCAGTGTACTCCCACAGGGAGGGCGCTGCTCAGCCAAAAGCTGGGATGATGACTGGCAATTGCAGCAGAAGTGGTGGGAGTCGGACA